TGCCAGCTGGGCAAAGGGGCTGGCTTGTGCCAGGACCATACCCCACTGCAGCGCTGCAGTTTAAAAGGCAGTAAAAGCTGGGCAGCCTCCCCCTAGCTACTACTGCCTTTTAAATTGCAGGGGGGTTTGGTCCCAGCGCGAGCTGGGACTGAGCCGGCTGCCTTCCCCGATCAACTATAGTCGATACAAATTCTATCGACTAGTCATAAAAATAACCCTGATTTTAACATCCCTAACTCACATACCCGGTGTCTCAAAGACCTTCATAAATTCCCCGACCTCTTCAGATTCCGAGTCTGAGTGTAGAACAAGCTCTAATTCAGAACAGTTCACCTAACAACAAGGTTTGCTTGGCAGAGAAGGTGTTTGCCTGCGCTGCTGCTGTCATGTGCTCCGTTATCTGCGGGAGATGCACTAGCTGCAAAGGCAGAATGTGAGTGCGCTATGGGCATACTGGGTCATCACAGCTAAGTACACCTTAACTCTGTATTTCTTTGTTTTCCATGGTTTGAACTTGACTCTCTGGAAGGGCCCAAAATGCCACCGGGCAGCTTTTGCACAGTCTCAACAAAGGCTTTTGTCAATGAATTTGCTAGGTTTTTTTTAAGAGAAAATAAGTGATGTCAGAGTTAGTGATCATTTAGGCAGTTATTGTTCGAGTTCCACTGACATACACTGTAGCTAGGCAATTACAAAAAAGCTAGCATTTAGATAGCCCTTTTCATCAGTAGATCCCCATTTTAAACAGGTGATAAACTGAGGCACAGGAAGTGACTTGCTCAAGGCCACTCTGGAGGCCAGTGGCATAGCCAACAGCGGTGGTTTCCCTGTTAAGCCACATGGTAGCTACGGGACTCCTCAATGGTCTTCCACCCTCCTGTATGTTTTGTGGTATGGGGATAATGACCATGCTTTGAATTAGCACTGTGTGGCCGCTAACAGGCCCAGGGAGAGAGATCTCCTACACAGTCTGTGTCACAGGATCTTGACTGTTTTATAACAGGGTTGTCACAGTAACTTTAAACAGGAGAGAGAAAACAAGTGTCACTCTCCCCATGTCCGCGTCCCGCCACCTCCCGCAACGTGTAGCACCCCTATGAGCACACGAACATTTTCAGCTCCTGGTCACCTTCCCGTTGCATTAGGCCATGAAAGAGTTCTGTAAAAGCCATTCTGACCCGAGCAGTTGGTCCTTTCTGTCTCCTGCCTGGCGCTGCTGCATACGCACACCAAGCCTGGCCTCTTATCTACACGAGCCAACCCCAGCTGGGCCCCATCCCCCTAGCTCCAGCCAGCTCACCCCTTCCAAACTGGACTGCTGATACTCTGGCCAGCCGCCCCACTGACACACGCCACTCCGCAGTGACATGGACCGTAACAGTTCACACCGTCATGGACGATCAGGGCTGGAAAGCCCTCAGGAGGCCATCTAATCCATCCCCTTGCCCAAAGCAGGACCAACCCCCGCTCAGTCATTCGTTTCAGATGGTTACATTTGCATCCGTCCCAGCTCCCGTGCAGAGGGGCACAGCGATTTCAAGAGGGGCAGCATACCCCATTTCCCAGCACACACGGAGGAGAAGGCTGAGGGGTCACAGGCCTCTACCTATACATCTGCAGCTTTCCCTGCCACCCCACCCATTTGTGTCCCTCCTCTTCTCCTGCTCCCCCTAAATCCCACCGTTTCCCCCTTACCTGAGCTCTCTGCCACTTTCCCTTTCCCTAGGACTCTCATTTATCTCCATCCCCAAAATAGCCCCATTCCTCTCTGCAGACCCTACCTCCACCCGTCTTCTCACCGACTCGTCCACCCCATCACCCTGCCCCACCCAGTGAGCATTCACATACGTGACACGTTTCCTTTTCAGAATAGGTTGAGCACTTTCTGAATTAGCTGCTCTACTCCGATTATATTTCCCAAAAAACCCAACCAACCACCCACCCACAAAAACACCCTTGACACAGATTGGTTTTCCCCACACGTTAACAGTTCATTCTCAGCTTTCTCCTCAGGGTAGTTATAAGGTAGTTTCAGAGGTTATAAGAACATAAGAATGGCCGGACTGGGTCAGACCAAAGGTCCATCCAGCCCAGTGTCCTGTCTGCCCACAGCGGCCAAAGCCAGATGCCCCAGAGGCAGTGAACAGAACCCGGAATCCTCAAGTGATCCCTCCCCTGTCAGCCATTCCCAGTCTCTGACAGAGGCTAGGGACACCATTCCTACCCATTTTGGCTAATATGTATTGATGGGCCTGTCCTCCATGAATCTATCTAATTCTTTTTTGAACCCTGTTAAAGTGCTGGTCGTCACACCATCCTCTGGCAAGGAGTTCCACAGGTTGACTGTGCGCTGCATGAAGAAAAACTTCCTTTGGTTTGTTTTAAACCTGCTAGCTATTAACTTCATGTAGTGACCCCTAGTACTTATGTCATGGGAACAAGCAAAGAACTTTTCTTTGTTCGCTTTCTCTACACCAGTCATGATTTTATAGACTTCTATCATATCCCTCCTCCCTTAGTCTCCTCTTTTCTAAACTGAAAATTCAGTCTTTTTAATCTCTTTTCATATGGGATCCATTCCAGACCCCAATTATTTTTGTTGCCCTTTTCTGACCCATTTCCAATGCCAAAGTTGCTTAGAATCTACAAGCTTTATGAAATGCTGGAATTATTTTTCTAGGGGTATCTCCGCAACACATTGGCCACCTGGGCCAAAATTTGGGTCACTAATTCTACCTTGCAATCAATCCCACAAGACACTCAATGTCAGACCAATCCAGCATGTGGATTTTAGAGCACTTGAAACAGAAAAATCTTTTCAAACTTAACTAGCCCAGCTGGCACTCTGCCATGATATTAGATGAAATTAATCATCTGCTGTATCCAGATTTGCCCCCCTCCCGTCGCACACAGGACAATCCTGAAAGGACAGGAGGCTATGGGAGGTGTGTGTGGCCCCTTCCTCTCCAAGTCTTGGTCTCAACTGAATTGAGAATGCCCCCTGGAGGCGAATGAGCCTGAAACAAATC